AGCATAGACTGTAGGCAAATAAGAAGAAGAAGAGAGTCTATTCTTTCTTTTGGTGTGTTCGGTGTTTACATAGTCATAGCACAAACTATTCTGTGGCTCTTGAAAAATCAATTAAAATGCTCAAAAAATGCTGGCAGTATGGGACTCTGTTCTGAAAATGGCTGCCAGTCAATGAGTTAAAGAGCCGGGTTTACTCTTTACCTCCATCAACTCAAAGAGACAAACAAATCTCTGGTCAAATTGAGAATCATTAGAGTCCTTTAAACTGTAAAGTCCTTAGCACATCTTCTATTATAGCTACTTAGCTAACATCTTTAAAGCAAACGTCAGGAAGGAAAAAAAACTCCCCCAAACCTTATGCGTGAAACAAACCACACAACCAAATAAAAACAGTGAAGGGTAGAAACAGGTAGGTCAAGATTTGCCTTTTTAGGAATCTAAAGGTTTACTCTGCAATGAAAGTGATGCACATAAGACATGTTTGTTTTATAGCTAATTTTTTAATCAACTTGTCTTGTCTGGTCTATTGGCAGGTGGAACGATGCCCTGACTGTCGTAGGTACGCCAAACATAGGACAGTTTGCAAACCGGGGACAGCTGCCTCACCAAAAGAGGTTTGTATTCCTTTAAAGCCTCAATTAATGTCAAAACCATCACTCATATATTTTCTGTGGTAAATCATGACAAGGTGCAGAGAAGAGGATGGGAAGCGAGAATAGAGTGGGAAAAAGAACGAAAAAACAAAAAAGAATCTAAAGAACAAAATTGCAAATCCTGACAACCAGCTGCTGAAAAAATGTTCCTACCGCATGCATGAGCAAAACCGGACAAAGACAATAGCAGACACTTGCAAAAAGACAAGACAAAAAGAAAAAAAACTCAGTAACAAACAATAGCAGAAAGAATATGGAGCTACACTGTTGATTTGGATGTGCAAAACTAGAAGTCAGCATTTGCTAAACTCTGTGATAATTGGAAAAATATTTGTACACAACACCCCATGGCTCCACCAACATCTCCTCCATCTTTCAGCACTTCCTCAAAGTCTTCACTGACTATCTAAAACTCCCATTCTGCTGCACTGAAAAGCAAGAAAAACAACCAGGTCCATTCAATTTCACTTACTATTCATACTAGAACAGAATCAAACTTCTCAGAATCAGTTTTCCCAGAGAAATGGAAGTGTGGAAACAAGGCAAGGCACATGAATTGTGAATAAGAGAGGGGTGCAGAGTTAAAAAGCATTGGAATTAATACATATCCGGGCAGGTCCTTCCAGAGTTGCAGTGACTCCTACATAAATGGCAGGAATAGCATCAAACTTTACAGTGAGTCTATAAGCTATCTATAGGTCAGATTAAAACATGTGATAGAACTCCCTGCCTCTCCCAAAAACTAAAGTATAGACACCGCTATATTATACTATATCGTGCCAGACAGGAGTATATTGTTAAATCCTGCACATGCCCGCTGATTTCTTCAAATCGGCAATATTGAAGCCTGCCATTGAAGTCTGACATTTAAAAAAAAAAAAACATCCATTACAAAAATGACCATGCAGCCTCTCTATCTTGATTATGCTCGCTTCTACTAAAACCTATTAAAATCTTGCAAGTAGTTAGTATTGTTTGGGGCTGGTTCCTCAAAAACGGTTGTGCTGAAATAGGAGATTTCCTTTGATTATTTTAAGCCTCATATCATACGTTTCTATTCAAGATGAAGGAATGAATAAAGACACCCATTTAAAAAGAGTGACAAAACAAACACTTAAAATGTAGATTAGAATAGCTGACACATTATTCCTCCACATTATTGTCTGGTAAATTGAACACATCTTGTGAAAAAAGCAGAAAAACATTCTATGATGTTGGTCACTGATTTTAAATTCTGGACCACAGGGTCAGCAAAATCTTACCAAGGGAAGAAATAAGTCTTGTCTTAATCGTTTCTATGTGTAGTTTTTGATAAAGAGAAAAGTTTCCCCACAACATGTAAAAGATAAAGAGGAGTACATGGAATTTTGCTTTCTACGACCTTAGAAGCTTCGCAATTAAGCTACCACGTCTGGCCAAACGGAGCCAGAGAAAATGCTTGCTGATACTGTTTTGAGTTTTCCAGGTGTCTGATTGACCTGCCGTAGACGCTTCTTTGCTTTGAAACTGTCAGACAACACATTCTGAACCACAATAGTCCACTGCTCATCTTTTGGGATGTCATTAAGTTGTCATGTCCACACCAAGACTCCGGTTTGGAGAATATTCAAACTTACCTAAGTACTAAGTACTAGAATATGTCCCGAGGGGACAATAGAGGGATTTTTTCCTGCTTTAGAAGAGGCCTATCCTTTGAAAAAGGAAAATTTAAGCTAATTTAAGACATTAAATTAGCTTAAAATGGTTTCATCCATTTTGATGCTAGACAAGAAAAAATAGACATTACTTTGAAAAGTGCTAAACATAGTTGCATTGCTCGGGGAAAAAAACAGATGCACATCCTTAGTTGTACTGCTTTTTAATGTGTTTTTTCATCAGAAATAATAAACGCCATACAATGCAAACCAAAAAAAATGACATAGCTCTTTACAGGCATAGTAGCTCATTCATACACATTCTACAGTTCAGACCGATCTGTCAAAGTGGCAATGGCAATGGAGTTTCCATCTCAGCAAACGCATGAGTAACATTCAGCCTCAAGTTTAAGATTTTTTTTTTTTTAACTTCAAATATTCTGCAAGCAAAAAGCTTTTTTTTTTTCTCTTTTCTTTTTATCACTCAGGTGGAGTCTGGAAACTTTCTGTAAAAGCCTGGGTAAGTCTTGTAGATGCTGTTTTCAGATTAGTCAGCAGCATCAAAGTTACTATTTGACTTCAGCATGCAAGCCCTTGCTAATAAATAATTGAACATTCTTGTAAACACACTGTAAGTGCTGTTTTTTTTTTCTGAAGTCACTATAGGCCTCGAAATTAAAACTTATTTCAAATAATGTTGCCAATTTTATTTTTTTTCGTTATTAGGATGAGAGAGGAGGGATGTTATCTTCTGTGCTAAATTAATAAAACGGGAACTTAAAATGAAAGAGCAGAACGTATTCCTCGACAAAATACTTCCAGGTTGTTTAAGGGTCAATTCTAAAAGAGCAAATGATCTCAACTCCAAACACAGCTAAAACACTGTATTAAAATGAAGGTGGTTCCTTTGTTGGGATCCTTCGGCACCACATGGGGGCGCCAGCGTGTTGTTGAACCAATATGAGACCCAACCGGCCACAGACTGACCTCAACCTGAGCCGGTGTGAGTCCACACGGCTGTGTCCACACACGCTGAAACGTGAAACATGCCGGCTTCTGATGAGTCAAAAAAACACTAATAATACTTAAACATTTAAGTGCTAAACGTGGACATAGTACGGTCTCTTCCAAGAAGGTTCACCTCAATAAACCAACTGTGTTTGGCATCACTTTAGAAGATCTCCAATCTGGACTTAAGTAAAAATCTTGGATAAAAAATAATTCCTCTTAACAAGAATGTTAAAAAATAAAGAAATTAATGCTGTGAGAGAGAAAAAAACATTCAAAAAACAACATGTAAAACACTTTTAAACCACACACTTTACACCTTATATATGTCAATGCACTTAAGCCAGAATAAAAGCAATCTTCTTGCTTTTAGTAATCTTGATGTATACTTTACAATACAATGTATACAAGATAACATGAAGCAACAAAGCAAAAAAATAAATATCTTAAAATCAAAGTGAGTTTATATTTATAATATATATATCTATATATGTATATTTATATGTATAGCTTACTTTCGGGTAGGGTGAGTGTTACAGTTTGGCTGACAGATGCAGAGAGCTAATATCTACTTATGGAAAACTAAAGGAAAATATAGCAGGACAAAAACCACTTTATAAAACGCATCGTTACAAATCGACCCTTGGCCCTTCATTTGGGATGGAAACTGAGCATGGGATGGCTCCAGACTGGATATTAATCGTTTATTTTCTTGTTCATAAAGTGATTTCTCCAGTAGCACAGTGTCAGTTTATCTACACTTCTACAGTGAACGGGGAAGACCTATGGAATTATGGAACTTATTCCCAAAGTTTGGCTGTTTGCATATTTAAGACGGCTTAGATATGTTTTTTTTTTTTCTTCTTTAAAAGCTCTGCATTTAGGAAAGAAAGTCAGGCACCCAAAATCTAGAACAGTTCGACTCAAAAAAGTAAATGAGAAATATTTACAGACCTCACCAGCTGCAAAAATGTCCGACTACCCTTTGTGACAGCCATGGTGCAGAATTGACCTACAGCATCAGTACATACAGAAAAGGAACAGTATTTTTGATTAAGCAGCCATATTTGTTTTTTACAAAAGAATACTTCTGACCTTCCCACAGTGGCGAACTATCCACACCCTGGCTACTTTTTTTTTCTTTTTTTTCTTTTTTTTTTAAATCTTTGGTTGACCAGTCAAAAGCCTGATAGATTTACAGTCCAACTTCCAGATAGCACAACTTCACTTCTTCTTCAAAATATAAAACCAGCATAACTGCTAAAAAAACAAACAAACGACGACAACATTTGCACGCCCAATGTCATTCCCTCTTCCTGATCGTAGGTTACCCTTCCGGGGAGATTCAAACCCCCCCCCCACCGTCCCATTGTCACACACAGCCACAGCTCATCCTACACTTCCTCTGCTCTGTTCTGAAGCCCGTCCCAGAAAAAATAAGCACATGCATGCGAGCCGCACTGGCGGGAAACACGCGATAGGTTTTCATTTGTTTTCAAGCGCACAGACCTGGACGAACATGCTTAAAAGTGACCGAGCAGGAAAGAGAAAAAGGTGATGCGGGAAAAATCGAACACTACAATCGTCCAAGACAACGGGAAATTGTCCGTGGTTAGCAGGAAAATTAAAAGGACCAAAGGATTCTTAAAAAAAAAAAAAAAACAAAAAAAAAAAAGAGAGACAGGGGTTTTTTCGCTGACGGCCCTCATCGTTTCTGCGAGGCGATCATCTTGGAGACGAAGTTGACGATGGCGCTGGCCGGCTGGTCGGGGTCCAGCTCGGCGAAGAGGTGGCTGACGTTGTCTGTTGTGCTTCCCTGCTTACGCGCCACAAAGCCAAAGAATCTGAAAGGAAACGTTAAAGATGCGGTCACGAGTAGGAACTGGAGTTCAAAAACCGAATATCAACAGTGGCAGAGGACACGGAAGCACAGGGGGCTATGGAGGGGTCACTCACTTAGCTGGACCTCCCTCAGGCTTACTCCATCTAGAAAACAAACAAAAAAAAATGTTTTTTTGGTTAACTCATTGGCTGCCAAAGACGTCTATAGAGGTCTTTTATGTTTTTCAACGAGAGTGGCTTGGGGGACGATCTGCTAAAGCTTGTCCGTAAATATCGGCTTCTAGACAGAGTATGTACTAACAAATTGACCCTCTAGGGGGCAGTGCCACTTTTGATGGGAGATGAGCATAGACTGTAGGCAAATAAGAAAAAGGGAACGGTTCTATGAGAGAACATGTCGCAGGTGAGACGCAAGTCCAGGAAGAACGGAATAAGGTAGAAACACTTTTTTTTTCCTGATGAAAGAAGAGAGTCTACTCTTTCTTTTGGTGTGTTCGGTGTTTACATAGTCATAGCACAAACTATTCTGTGGCTCTTGAAAAATCAGTCAAAATGCTCAAAAAATTCTGGCAGTCAATGAGTTAAAGACTTCTCTTATTTTTCATTATTATGTGGCACATTTGTAACCAGATCCAGAGCAAAAGCTGAAACAGAATTTCAATCTTTCCTGGAGTTTATCAGCTTGTGACAAGCCAAAAAATGCTATAGATGTGTACAGGCTGCAGGACGTCATTTTCTTTGTGTGTTGATGGACACAGATCTATTTTAGACAGATGCCTTCAGTTTGTGCACAAACGATGCTCTTAATATTCTCCTTTAGTCTTTTCCTGTTGAGGTAAAATCTAACACAATGGTGCCTAATTTTCCACACTATTAAAACAATCAAAGCAATAATTATCCTGTACAAAGCAAACTACTATTACTAAATAAATATATAGACCAACCTATATGGTGTTCAAATGATTTGTGATTCAACATTTGATAGATGGGGAAAACCCATTTAAAAAGCAGTTTTCATTTTTAAATACTGACTCCCGGAAGTACAGAAATATTAATAATGTACATTTAGGAAGTTGACAAGAAATACATATTGGCATAAAATGTACATTTTGCCCATCCAGGTCCTACTTTTCTTTGACAGCTTTTAAAGAAACTTTTAAATGGTTCGATGGGCAAAAGTCACATGAAAAATGTAAAGAATGGAAGCATATAAATGTCACATGCTAATTTAAGGGAGGAATTTATTCCATTCAATAGATTTACTGTAAAGTAAGAAGTGTTCTGACTAACCCTGAAAAATAAAAAGTCCAGCTGATGGGTATGTTTTTAAAAATTCATACAGACAAAATAGAGAACAAAATTGCACGTCTTGCTTTTTGAAGGACTTGCGATGGGGAAAAAACAAGTCAGCGTGCTACGGGGATTAGCTTAACAGCAGGACGGATCTTGAGGATAGCAAGTTGGTCGGAATCGGTTTGGGGAAACCATCAACCGTAATAAAAGTGTTTGATTTCATGTGGTTGCTGACTCACTTTCTGTCCTGCGGGTCCGTATCGCAGAACGTGACAGTGTTGGTGGGGTAGTGGCGTCGGAAGAAAAGCCTTAAAATATAAGGAAAAATACAAAAGAGAAACACTTGAGCACACTGGATAAAAGCCATGATGAAAATTGATTTCAGATCAATGTCAGATTATTTGCTTCACAGTATGTAATCTTAATTTACTATGAATGTATCAAACATCAGGATTAACAGCACAGCGTTCCAACACATTATTACTGACATTATTACTGGCCCTGATCACATGAATTCAGACAGGCAGACATGTAGTGAATTATTGACATTTTTTTTAATTGTATCCAGTACTTTTTTTAACTGTCGATCAGCAAATTTGAGATGTTTCTTGGTAAATAAATGTGCTCCAGCTTCAGCCAGTTCATCTGTTTTCTCACACTGATCTGACATGATGAATATTGAGCTCTTCACCTGAATTGTTCTACACTAGTGTAGTTACATTGTAACTACACAGACTGCACGTCGTCAAAGTTATTGTTTAATCGTAAGAAAAGAAACTAAATATCTTATAATCAGTAACTGTTTGTTAGAATTTAATCATGTAAATAACACACTATAACGATCAATAAAGTTGTATAGATAATCCTCCTATAAGGCATGTGGGATAAAAGATAAATAACTATTCAGAGGGTAATAAAGATTAAGAGAGTATATCATACACAGGACAAAGAAACGCATAAGAAACTAACAATTATTGATGGGGATTTTCCCACATTCCCGTGCAGTTTTTTAACATGACCCAGCCATTTTGGTTTAAACTCCCTGATAAACGAGTTATTCCTCTGGTTACTTCTACTGGTTTATTGTGTCATAGATGTAAAATGCATTGAGATGTCAATAGTCTGCCAATATCACCCAACGCGAGACCTTCAGACAGTTCCCTCAGGGGAAGACGGGGTTCAGACTTACTTCCGCTGGTTGTCAGTGAGCGTGATGCCCTGTGAGGACACCTTGAAGTGCACAACGGTGGCAGTAGGTAGAGAAGCAGCAGCCAGTGTCTCGGATATGGCCTTGGCCACCGCCTGGGGGCCCGTCAAGGACTCCATCTCCACTGAGTTGATGTAGAGAACATTGCATGCTGGGAAGAAAACAGATGGTTCCAAATGGTTACGATATGTCAAATATGAAAGGGGAAGGAGTTTCTCCATGCAACGGCATTGGTTTCTTCTTATTAGCAGGCATGCGTTCTGGAACAAAGCTGGATTTGTACGGATGAATCCATACGAAACATTCCACATAAAACATTCTGCTTGTTACGATAGAGATGCTGGACGTTGTTGTTAAGAGACCATTTTATACATCGTGTGTGCAGATAACAATACGCAGACAAACATGTACGATGCACATTCCAGATGTAAAAGTGCACTGGCTTTACCATGAGAGTCAGCCGGGGCCCTCTGCACTGGGATAACAAGGACGTCAGGTTGTCAGAATGAGACCATTTAGGATACAGCAATCATTTTTTTCACTGATGTCCAAAATAGCCTAAAGTTGGACGTTGGTTAATTTAGCGCGTAATGAGACAATGAACTGAGGTTTTACCTGCTCCTTGTTTTAATCTCTCAGTCAGTGGATTTGCCGTGGTGACCTCAGGCGCCTCCTCAATGAGATCTACGGAAGAGATGGTTAGCATTTTTTCTTTTTCAGAGATGAGCATATGAAACCTGAGTTACCGTCAATACTAAGATACCAAGATGTTTTATGTTTCAGGCTTACAGTACCAGCAAATAACTATAATACTCATGGATGTTTTTTTTTATTTTATGACAAAAAAAGTATTTTTCTCATGAAAATTTCAAATTTCTGCTTTTGATAGATTTAGGTTTTATTTGGTGTCATCCACATCCTCTAAAGATGAAATAATCAACTCGAAAGTTTGATTAGAAGGAGCCTAACATCTCAGAGGGATAATATAGTAAAGTTGGAGTTAATAAATGGTGCTACAGATTGGTCCCAATTTTTGGTAACCAGAACAAATGGCAGTATAATTAATATATAATTTTGTTGAAAGTAATATACATCAAGTTATACTAACATGAATACTTGATCTTTGACAATTTGAATACGAGAAATGAGAAAATCATGACTTCATAACACATCACTAATTGGTGTGATGTTTTCTTATGGTCAGTTAAATAAATGATGGCACAAAATGTATTTTTTGTGGTCTTTGTGAGGTTCAATTCACTTCAAATATCAATTTCACCTCAAAATAGCCTTTTATGCTTATGTTTCATAGCTTGTAACATATGGACAGAATTCCATATAGATGGATTTGTGAGATAAGTAGATTGTGTTTAAAAGAATGTGGGTCAAATATAACTCTTGCCGGAGGTGAATACAAAGAAAACAGCTGTACTTTCAAGGTATAAACAAACATACCTGTTGTTGGAATGAGGAGTTTGCAAGGTAGGGCCAATGGTGTGATAGCATGCTGGTAGACCAAAGCAGACAAACAACCTATAGAACATAAAAATAATATGCTTCAATCAAAATAAAGGCATCCATCTTTTGGACACTTTTTGGAATTCATCTTCATTTTACAGAGATACACATTTCTGGCAAGAAAAACAAAACCCTCGTTTGCCTTTGAATTTGCTTAGGATAGACTCTGGCACTTTGTCCTTACCCAGTAATTGGTGGTCTAGGGAATTCATAGCCTATTCAAAATCTTTAAGGATTTTCCCCTGCTTACATTAGTGTTTTAACACAGTTAATGAATCGCGTTTTGGAAAAACTTATTAGAATCTTTTTTTTCTTTCACTGTCTGACCATACCCTCAGATAACAGAGGTTTGTCTCTTTTATAGACATAGCAGAGGAAAACAAGTCATGTGTTTCATTCTGCCTTACTAGTGTAGCCCTAACACTAACCTTTTTATTTCTTAAACCTTTGATAACATCAGCAAGCTATGGCTGGAGTCTTTGACTTACCAAAGTAAGGCTCGTTGGGGCAACCTTTCAGCTTCACCCCCTTAGGGCTGCTCTCGATCAGGAAGTGCCTCACTAACTCGTTGTTGATGTCACCTTACAAGACAGGAGGTATATTACTCATTATCATGCAGACCTTTGATGTTAACTTGTTAACTTTCATGTATTCGTCCATCCTTAACCCTACCTTTCTTGTTCTGATGCACGGATGGGGGAGGAGAAGCGACCTTCATAGCCAGGCCATAAGCCCCTCTGAACGAGTGGCTGTCCCGGATAACAAAGGCTCCAGGCTCCCTCTCCCTGAGCAGGCCAATAGCTGCAACATGGTAAATATCCAGTTAGGACCCAACATTACACACCACTAAGCATTCACTGTGTGGCACCTGGACGTAGATTATAGTCTCAAAGGCAGGCAAGTTCATATCACTTGTCTCATTCCCGGTGGTTTGTCCATGGCACATTATTTTCTACATCACACGGTGAAAAGTAGCTTGTTTGACTTGCTATGTAACCTAAATCTGTATCTTAATACTTGTCCAACATTAGTATTTTATGAGTGTACAATAACTTGATTTGAAGGAGCAAGTGGCTATCTATATATAAAATGTGCATGCCTTTGGACATACTAGCCTTCCACTAATTTTAAAGCAACTATTAACATGTTGGCTTAACATCAGAAGGAGAATACTTAACCTTTCCAAGAGCCATCTGCCTGTTAATAAAACGCTACATTTATGGACATATTTCGGCATGGTTCAACCGTTGCTGTAGACTCATGATCAGCTTTTTAGAAAGAAATACACCAGCTCTGTCAGAAAATTTCTGAAACGGATTTGCTTTGCGGATAGAGTAAACCCTACATTTTAAACCATCCATTTAAAAAAAACACATTTCCAGTTTATCTCGCTATCTTTTTCCATGTCCAATACTTTTTTTTTATGCTGCCATTTCCTTGTATAGCCTTTGCTAATACAAGTATACACTTGTATACGGGTTTTTCTATCATCCATTTGCAGGCATAATTTGCAAAACATTAAGAATGCGTCAGTAGAAACACCATTATTTCTTACGGTAAAACCTTATAAAGACTGGGTGTAGTTAAACCCATGGAAAGTACTGGAATACAGAAGATGCCCCACGGATGAAGGTATCAGCATGTCAAAAGTAAAACAAATCTAAAGCTTGTTAAAATATACCTGCGACCAGTTTGCAATTCAGTGGGACCAAAGTTTCCAACACAGAACTTAATTTCAGAGGCTCCATTGTAAGAGAAGACCAGCTTTAGAGCTTTTACTTCAGTGTTTACTTCAAGGCCTCCGCCTGTCTGCATGTGACAGTTTAAGCAAGGAAGATGGATGAGATGAGAGCAGCAGATATTCAGTAATGTCCTACATATGGTGCGGTTTTCGCTTTGGGATAGTCTTAGTGTCTGATGTCACTGCAGTAGAGCATGTGCATGGATTCAACATGATATAGTCCAATGCGGGCCATGAGAAAACGAATCAGAAGCAGCTATTGGGAACTGACCTCAGCCAAACTACACAAGAACAGAAATGTTTTGTGTGTAAGTCTGCATGCTCAGTCAATACTGCTCATATGTGTTGTGTTCACACATTTTTCAAAAGTGAATATGTTTCATGGTCTGTGATTACCTAATGCAAAGTTTTTCCATGTTTGCTCGCTTAGATAAAGCTATGAAACACCTTGTTAAAATCTACATACATAAGCTGCTTATCTGAAGGGAGAGTAAGTGTCCCCTACCCCATAACACCCAATTTTTGTATTTACTTAAAAGGTTTTTAGCAGCAGTGCACATAAATCAATAAGACACAAACATATCTAGTCTGCAATAAGCAACGCGTCAATCAATCCAACCATTTCCTATAAATGCTTATTCCAAGAAGGGTCACTGAAGGGCCATAGCCTCTGCTAGCTTTCACTGGGTGAGAGGATGGACTGTTTTGCCAGCCAAGGGTTATCAGGCCATTACAGGGCCACACAAAGACAAATGACCCAGAAAACCATGCATGCTCACACACACCCCTATACCCATAGAGAACCCACACATACATGGAAAAACATACAAACTTGATCCCAACTGGGGTTCAAATGGAAAATGAAAATGCAATTTGTTTAGCTAATGCTAAAATCCACTGATGGCAGATTTCTTTATCTGTTTTATGTAGTAAATGCAACATTCTGTATAAAATCACATTGCAAGCATACAGGAGCTGAGTCCGAAACTGAAAACAAGTTTCTGGGTGGAATGCTCTTTTTTTATTACATATGTTTAATGCACAAGTGAAACACAGTGTTCAAGTTGCATACCTTGTTCCCTGGAGATGTCTGGCTTGTACCAGAACTTGGACGTGTCTTGAACAAACTTCACATTCAGCCTGCTCTCTGGGCTTCCATCTGTTCCAAAAAACAACATCAACTTATGAAATAAATTGAATTTGATCGTTTGTTTTTTTGCCTTATCTATGACAAAGTCCCAGTAATGGATCTGCCATGTTGTTGTTGTTTTCATAACTGCAACAAAAAAACTAAACTAAACTCTATAAACTTTGTTTATTTTTAAATTCAATGGTATGTGCAACATCCTGATTAGACTGCACAAGAAGTTTGTGTCCTTACCAGGAATATTGAACCTTGAGAAATCGGAGAGGGTATGAAAGTAGCCAGGATTGCTTCCTCCACTCACGGTCGCCATAGTCTTCCCATTCAGTGTGCTATAGGACAGGACTCCGTTGGGTTTATCCCCACTCGACATGCGCCTCTTCTCTGGGAGCTGCGGCTGGAAACCAGGGGCCGGGCTACCCTGCCTAAAACCTACACCCATCATCCCACCATCCTGATAACCTGCAGGTGAGATGGGGAATGAGGGAGTGGGTGGTCCCTGGTAGCCGGAAGAGCTGCTCTGTCTTGAGAGGTTCCCGTGTCTTTCGTCCGGAGTGGTGTAACCACTGTGCATCGGGTGGCGATCTAAGCTCGGGCTTCTCTGGGACATCTGCGAAACGGACGGGTGGCGTCCCAGCACTGGGCTTCCTGGAGGATGTGTGATGGATGGCTGTCGGCTGAGCACGGGGCTGCTCTGAACAGGCTGACCCAGGGACGGTTGCCTGCTGAGGACCGGGCTTTGCTGAGACCCATGTCCCAGAGGAGCCGGCCTGCTAAGGACCGGGCTCCTCTGTGTTCCCTGAGACAGACGGCGACCAAGGGTGGGACTGCCGCTGAAACCCGTCGTGCCAACTTCAAAACCATTGGTGGGTTTTTGGACTGGCTGGATAAAGCCATCGTGTCTAGCGCTCAGGTGCTGCTGGATGACAGGATTGTGGGGGAAGCCGACGGTGTTCGGTTGGCGCTGTGCTTGGGGACTTCCATGACCAAGTGCGGTCTTCGAGGGTTCTGAAAGAGGTGGGCTGGGATCCGAGGCTGGGTAGCTCCCCAAGAGGCTGCTGGGACCAATGTAGGACAGTGTGGGTGTAGTTGTTCCAAGGTAGGAAGAGGTTGGAGAGCTGGAATCCAGGTAGGAAGAAGTCGGGGTATACTGGGCTTGATACGACGGGGTGGGAGTGGGGTAAGCACTCTCTGTTGTCTGAGAGCGGAACCCAGAATCAGTAGTTGGTTGGGAGGGGGTGCTAACGCCACTCTCTGCTAACAGGTGATCGCTGAAAAACAAGTGAGACAAGTTAGAAACAGTTTCTCCTCAGACGATCAAACATCCATCAGAGTTTACCAGTACTTTAAGCAATGATCTTGCAAAGAGGAAGTCCCTAAAAGTGACTCCTTTATTTCAGGCACTGGGTCATTCTTGGGATCTAGCAATGACCCATAGGGCAGAAAGCGCTAACAGTTTGACTCACCTCTGCACACCCTGGATTGGACTGCTGCTGGACAGAGGTGGATTCAGCGTGTGGGTACTAGGACCTAGACCTCTCTGCTGACTCGTCGTGTCTTGTGGAGGGCTCAGACTTCGATGGGATGCGGGCGCCTCTCCAGCAGTCACGGCCGACCTCGCCACAGACTCCACGTAGCTTCTCGGAGCTGCATGTTTGAGAAGAAGAGCATGAGACTGACACTCGCGGCGAATTGATGCTGTGCGCAATGATGCGTTCATTTCTGATTTGTGAATTTACAAGCTGGGTTATCAGTGAAGATGATACAATGAACACAAAACGTTCATTAGCACAAAAGATGGAATGTTTTGACCAACAATGGATGCTGTTGGGAGAACAAAAGTGACTTCTTCAGATAAATGAAATTTCAAATTTGGAATAAATTTAAAAACGTGACATTCAAATGGACCTCTGAATATAAGCTGTCTTGGGTGAAAAACACTATATACTTAGATGGCCTCTTGCAATATGGCAGATCTTACCTTCCTCATCATCACTGCTCTCATCTGTGCAGCATCAATGTAGATAATTCAGAGAAATAAAACAGTGTAAAGGACAGAGTATTTCCAGTTCTTAGCACCCAGTGTTACTATTGGGAAGATTTTTCTTTTAGCTTTCAGATGGAACAAAAATTTAGTTTGAGAGGCTCAATGCTGAGATGCATTTTGTTAACTTAAGCTAATATAGGGCTTGTTTCTATTTGACTGAAATACGAAAAATATATCATCATTTAGAACAGACAGCAGTGGTAAATGTATTGCTTTTTGACAACTCAAATGACCTTTACACAATAATTCACATTCAGCCATGAACATGTATTCTAATAGTAAAGTTAGACTCTCCAATATTAGTTGGCAATGAGGTGTTTCAATGTATTGCCAAAGGCTACTGATCCTCCAAATGACAAAAAACTGTTTAGAGAACTTTGGTTAACCAATGCAATTAGTCAGCAAAACCAGCTTATCCCATCTACTAAGCATGGTGGGGGGAGGCTGATGATTTGGTCTTGTTTTGATTGAGTGCCTCAACAAGACAGTAAGGATTCAGTGTAACAAATAGCAGCTTTCTGAATGTGAGCAAAGGTTTAAAATTCTTTAATAAAAAAGAAAAAGTCATCTGACATTATATGTACTCAATTTTCTAAAACCTGGTGAACACCACAATTTATTTTTTTCCTTTTCGTCCTGATAAAAAACAACTATTTCCAATTTGATATATATATAAGCATTATAGGCAATGGAAAAACAACAAGTATTAAATTGAGGGTCTATACCATGTCTGATTTATACCATGAAGATGTCACACCAACCTGAGCCTGTTTGATTGAGGAGTATTTCTGCTGGATTGTGGGGCTTCAATCCGAGGGCTGACAATGGAGTCTTCGCAAGACCAGGAGGAGACCGACCTGGAGAGATATTAAACAATTAGCACCGTACAGCATCAACCATTACAATCATCTTGACAGCTGCCACCTGTAGTCTTCAATTGGTTTGTCACCATGAATCTCTATAACATCACTATAGCAATTTATTGTCCGTTTAAGATTTAGGAATTTTTAAAAGTGGGAAATTATCAGTTTGTTTTAAAAGAAAGCTATTTAAAACAACTACTTAACAGGTTAAGAACTGTCAAGACAAAGCATCTCCATGGGTTAATACATAATTTGTGACATGTTTGGAAGGCCGTGCCCATGCCTCATGCTATCTGGGGGAGCAGAACATGCACATGACACCACCTGACTCTGCCATCAGCAGAACGAGATGTCCAACACAAGCGGTCACCAAAGCAGAGCTGCGTCAAAATGGACTTTTTTCTATTATTTTTTATAGTTTTGCAGTCTGTTCCGTATGGCTTTAAAAAGCTTGTTAAAATATTCCAAGAAATATCCCCCATGACATACAGTAGCTTTGACACAATCTCTGCTTTACAAACACTGGAGGGGAATGCAAGGAGTCAGTCAGCCATCTGATCTAATATCAGAATTGTGGTATTAAAGGTATTAATACCTACTGACTTTTTGCATTTAAATGATCCATCCTCTCCCAAGAGACATATTACCACACCAACCACTCCTATTTGCTTTACTTGACAAGGAATAATATGGCGGAAGAAAGCTTAGCATAACAAAAACAAGCTTGTAACGCACCAGACAAAAATAAAAAAATTCAAAATGGCCGGCAGGAATGGTGGGGGACAGGAGTTGGGGTGCTGATTCACAATAAACAAGGCAGCGATGAGGGATCAACGATGAATAACAACAGAAACACACAGAGCAGCAGCTGCTGTGATGAAATAAAAAGACTGTGTGTGATCGGATCTGTGTGTGTGGTCGAAATAAATTCACAGAGTAAAAGTTCTGGACTTCAACTTTCCATGTTGTGTACGCGCTAACCGGTCAGACATCTGTAACGTTGTGTTTTTTTACTGCAAGTGCTGCTCTCGTGTGGCTCTCATGCCATAGCAGTGCAGGACGGTGATGGACGGGTAAAGGGTCACTCAGCCGGTAAAAACGGGGGGGGGGGGGGGGTCAATATGGCTGACAGTGTGGGACATCCTCCACTTACCAAAGAATCCCAGCAATTCTTTGTACTTGGAAATACTCACTGCCCCACCCTTGATTGTGGGGGCTGTGTGTGTTTGTGTGTAGAGGGGAACAGTTAACAGGACATTTGGCTCAATTTGCTAAGGAGAGGCTGAAATGAGATATTAATCTAGTCAATGAACCTCAAACAGGTTTGGCAAGAAGTTGGAAGCTTGTTTACATCTTTTTGTCCTACTAAGTGCTCAAAGAAAAATGTTTTTTTGGGGGGAAACAAATTCAGCTGTTCCCAAAAATTTCCTACAGTGTGCTAATTTCATTATTTTCAACATTTCGTGATTAATCCTTTTTGTCTTGTGCAAGTATAAAAGGGTATTTTCAATTTGAGGGAAAGACAGATGTTACATTACAGAATGAGTGTTAGAATATAGCATGAGTTTTTATGATGAACTTTTATGGGTGTGTCCTGGGGGAGGCAGGCATGAGAACTGGATGATGTAACTGGCAGAGTCAGCAAAGAACATTTCATCTCATATGCGACCCTTGTTTTGGATCTCTGAGAAGCTAAGTGGGGATATGGTGTATGGAGCACATTTTAAAAAGTAAATTTTATATTAAGCTAAAATGGACAATAACTTTGATAAAAATGGAACATCTGTCTAATAGGGATGAGCACGAAGAAATGATATTGATGATTTGATTCTAAAGAAATCTGGAAATTGATGTCAGAAACACACTTTGTTTGTGTGTTTCCCTTCAGCAGCACCTTTTATCTTACAAATAGGACTATAATAGATGAGGTAAGGGTGTCAGGACTGGATATAAAAAGGAGCACCCACCAAAGGCATCTTTGCAGGCAAAGACTGGTTATTGAACACTCTCCCTCAAACTTGCAGATTCACTGATCAGTTGTATACATTTTGTCACTATATTTATGATGCATATTATTGTACAAGAGAGAAGACAAGGAAATATAACTTTTTAAAGACCAAAGAGTTATATGAAAACCTATCTGTAGTCAACACATTCTTATTTGCTGCTTCCAGAAATGTAACTTCAAATTGTTTTGAAAATGAAAGAAAGCATAAATACTTTGTGGTCGGATTAATCAACATTTATACTGCTCGTTGTGGAAAATCACCATTTGGGTTAATGCTTAGATTTTTACTATGAAATATTAGTAAATAAACAGAAAATAACATCTATGGACTTGAAATGTTAGTTGCATTTCATAATACATCCCATTTGTTTTGGTTCTAATATTTATACTCTATATACTTGCATACTTTTGAAATTCCTCCATTAAAATAAGCACAATTATATATTTAGAGATTTTAAAATACAAAAAAGTGCATTTAAAATAAAACATATTTAATAGTGATGTTTGAATTTTAAACAATTGAAAAAGTATCTATAATATGTTTATGAAAAAATGTTAATATTAGAAAAGCATATTGTTTTCCTTTTTGTGATAGGGTTTTTACATTTTTGGTTTAACTCTTTTCTTTTTTAGACTGTGAAAAAAATACATCTTTTGATTAATCTTCAGTTACAATATAGATCATTTGAATTTCTAAGCGACAGCTCGACAGTCCCATCTGTCAGCCAGATGGGGGCACTTACACAGGTTGAAGTAAGGGGTTTGTGGTGAGATGGGGAATGCAGGGGTTTGGGGAAACACCTCACCACCAACTGTGGGTGTAGGACTGACAGGACCTCCCTCCATTTCCTCAAAGGCTTCCCGGTAGCTGTGCATATTTTTCTGCATCAGGGAATATTGAGATGAAAAAAAAACAAACACAAACCAAAGGGAAAGGTGAGCAGGGCAGAGAAAATACATTAAAAAAACATGTTTTAGTCAGATGGGTGTTTGATACCTCCTTGGGCCGTCCTCCGGGGTTCATGGCAATGGCGTTGACAAACTCGGGAGAAACGCAGCGGACGGGGGAGCGGACGGGGATGTCGGGGGACAGACCTTCGTCGGAGTGGCCCTCGCTGGTAAACCGAGAGCGGGGAAGAGGCGCGGGCTCGTCAAAGGACGCCGCGCGGGCCTGGACTCCTGACGAAACGCACAAACCAACGTTAGTCAGTCTACCGTTAGCGCTCATCAACGGTTACTAGCCACTGGGAGTAATCACTGCACAAAACATGGCAAAGCCTTTGCTCCATACTTTCAAATCCAATACGCAGACTCGGAAGGTGAATCATTAGGAAGATAACCATTAAACTGAAAACATACTGAAGATTCTCAGTTTCATTAACCCGTTAAAGCCTGATCCAAGAAAAATAGGAAGAATATTGGATTTTTTTAGTCCGAAGTCTTTCTTTTGTCCCTCAACAACATATGACAAAAAAAAAACAGAAATTATTTTGATCAAATTAGCGTGCAATAAGTAAAAAAAATTGCTGTTATCAGGTATATCAGGGTATATCAGGTATAACAGGGGTTTGAGCAAAGCTTTTACCATTGAATGATGCAAAAAGTCTCAGATCCAAAAGACTTCAGAAACCATACGTACCAAATACGATACATTTGGCATTATAGGGTTAAGAGACTCGCTCAATGGTCGTCGCTTAGAGTTAACATTACAAAAACTGAACTTTGAAATTGAGAAACACAAGGTAATATTCAAACCATCTAGGCCGGATAATAGGAAATGAAACACGAGCAGTGAGTAAGCTGATTTCCATTAATCTGGCTTGAACTTTAAGAACCAGACTTGATGCCAGCAACATAAAACAAACAGGATTGGAGTTAAGAGGTTTTGTTTTTTTTAAGGCTAAGCCAAGAGGTAGCACCGTAGACTGGAAGGCTCAGGTGGCAAAGCATGTACTGGCCGAAACATCAAAGTTAGTCCGCGATGTCGCCCCCGATTGCAACGAATATCGAACAAGATTGTGGTTAGTGGGAACAAGACATGAAATTCAATAGATTTTAGTAAAAGGAAGCAAACATTGAAGCTGTGAGTTTGTGTTGAGGCAGTTTACCTTGTAGCTCTATGCACTTATTTTTCAATTGGAAGAGATGTGTTTGTGGAGTAGTACCATAATTTATTTGCCACTTGTAAAATATAATCATCAGAATATATTAAAAAAGCTGTGGTATTTAAAAAAAAATACAGAAAATAACTACATAATCTGCAAAATGTATGCGTTTAGTATGACCTTTTCTCTTCTAAAGTAGTATTCATGTATATTTTGAAACGATAAAAAGGATCTAATGCCAAGTCGAGTGCCAAAAATGCCATATGTTATGATGCTTGATTTATCTAAAGCTTCAAGAATGTTCTAATCTGACAACTTTTAAAAGCCCCAAAACAGAAACACACCCACTACATCTGAAATCTTAAAAGCAGATGTCCCAAGATGCACTTCCCTAAAGCGGAGATCTGTCAAACACTATGCTGTTGCCCCGGTGACAGCTAATAGTTTACAGCTGGAGAACCCAGGACTGAGGCTTCTTTTTTTTAAAGAAGTTCTCCATTCCTCAACCATTAAAAGGCCAGTCATCCTTTGAAAACTGAGAAAGGTGATCTAAGGTAAGACTGAGGAGGGTGTATTTCTGGCAAAGTGCAATCACATCCCTATGAGAATCAGTTGGCTTTTTATACTATTTAAGAAGAAACTCACAATATGAAATTTGTATGAATTAATTTCTTGATGACTGAAGGTACAGTCATGTGAAAAAGAAAGGCAAACCCTATTTCAGTCCAAAGGTTTTACATAGTCTCAGAGTTAAGTTAACATCCAACAGAAACTTGTTTCCTCAAATTGTTCATGCTAAAAGCAGCTCTATGAACTCAATTGTGGTCTGAATTTTGCCCCTGATCAACAATTCCAGTTTGTCTCACTTTTTGTTAAATATACAATAAACCTGTTTGATATGCCATGTATGTTTTTTACTCTCAGGTTTTATTCCCCACTCTTCTAGTGTTTGGTAAGGGACTAATTATTCATTAATTTCCAGCACCTTTGACCTGAAAGAGAGTCTGCTTTCTTTTCACATGACTGTATGATCCCATTAGAACTTAATTCCATTACATTTCGGAGGTCCACTGAATCGTGTACCTTTGATGTAGTGCTGGACCACTGTAAAGGATATTGTCTGCGATAAAGAGGCCAGACTGTCCCGGCACACAGAGCAATCCTGTCCAGATCGCGGTCAGCTCTCAGCGGACACATTCGGCTTTTAGTGGTGTGTCCAAGTAGGATTAGGGTCTCTCTTTTACATTTTGGTGTATTTTTGTCTGCCTTTGTAAACCTTGAATACGGTGCAAGTGAGAAAAAAAAGCAGCGTTGAATGAGGCCAGTGTATCCTGGCCTCAGCATTGTTCCCAAAGTTTGGCAAAACAGATCTTGTGACATGCTCTCTCCTGGCAAGGGACAGAGCCTCCTTTGTGCTTCCCCCTGTCTCATTCTTGTGAAACTTTAACGTTATCCAAATGAGTTAATTTTTCCCTGGCACATTCGGGGGGAGATTTGCTTACCTTTAGAAAGGCAACTGCGACTCAGAACAAACAAAAATCAACAGTGTGTGAACAAAGCAATCAGATGTTAGTTTGATTATGACAATGCCGGTCATCAAACCTAACGACGGCATGTTACGGGTGAAAGAGATGAGGTCAAATACAAAAGATAAAAGCAAAAAAGGGAGAAATGACAAACCAAAACCCACTGCACTCAAAGGTAGACCAGAAACAGAACTTAGAAGAAACACTTTGAAAAAAAAACTAAGCAACAAAGGACCTCTCCTCGTTTTTTTTTTCAAAGTGTTTCTTTGAACAGGATGGGAGAACCAACCCGAGAGGGAGTGAGAACGACGATGCTCAGACTGAGAAGAGGTCATGCTGGGGGTGACGTTTTGGACCCGAGCCGAGTACTCTGGGTAAACAGATGAATGATGAAAAGAATGGAGAGTGAAGATGATCAAATCAAAGAAGGATAAACAGAGAGACCGAAGGCTGTCACCTAAAAGGATTCAGGGGTAAAAGAGGCAACCAACATTTTCTGTTCCTGTAATACATGCTAATAATAACCACCAAAACTGAAAAATGATCCTGATATTAAATCATCTTTAAAACAGAAAATGAAACAGTTTTGCTGTTACAGTCATTAAACATCCCCAGGAAAGTATGAACTCGGTACTGTGTGATATAAACTGCTCTACATTTTAATGTCTATGAAGTAAATCTTCTTTATGGTATTTATGTCTCTGCATTTAGCAGATGCTTGTATCCTAAGCATTTACTATGCAAATCCAGCTAAGAAGCTAAGAACAAGCTTCATCAAAGAAAAGCACTTGTCAGACTCTGTTAGAGGCAACAATAGTGACAGTGTAAAGATAGAGAGAAGTACAGAAAGAATAGTAAAGGGAGGTATATCAAAGGAAAAAAATGGTTACATCAGAACAAATATAATTTTTTTTTCCTTCTTAGCTATCACATGTTGACTATTCCACTACTTGCCCCCTGGCAGGATGTCTGATGTTCCTATCTAGGGACAATCGACCTGCTGGGTGGGAGAGAACGCTTCCTTTTCAATCCCAAGTGATCGGGGCCGATGAGGTGATAGTCAGGAAATGAGATACGGTAGAAAAGCGGTAGAGGAGACTGATTTGTGCGGTGCTTGTTATTCTAATTTCTGTCTGTTTTTGAGTACTGATGCCAGGGTAAGGTTTAGTGCAAAGCAACTACGGGAATCTTTAACATTTCTATAGATAGGGTGGACTGTAACGTCTAATCATTTAGCTGAACAGGTCCTGCCTTTACAAAACAAATACTGCTCAGTGAGAATAGCTTCCTAAGTTTGATGGTGGAATGCATATCTCTCTTTCCCCCTTGCTTTGCATAGAAGAGTGTGAGGGGAAACTGCTAATGCAAACCCTCGGAATGAATAGAACACATTTCACAGTTTTTGTGAAGCAGGTCACACCCTCAAATATCATTTTTCTGCTTCTGAGCCAAATATTTTCAGTATGGCAAGTAGAAATAAACAATTTCCAAAGACAAAAGTCAAATCCTGCAGTTACATATTTTGAAGGCCTTTGAAATATTGTTCAAGATAACATGACAAGACAGTTATGAAGCCGTGTTTATTCTTACCTGCTACTCTCTGAGCCACAAGACCTTCAACGTTGAAGACTTCTTCTGGCTCGCCGTCTCTTGGCTGAGGCGATGGTGAGGCTGCATTTGGGCTTCTCCGGGGATCAGACACCTCTGCGGACTGGGACTGCACACTTGGTGGGAATGTGCTAAAGGGTTTGAGCTGAAGGGGGACACTTACGAGGGGGGGGACTTTTGAGGAAGCGCTGGTTCCACCTGTTTCAGAGGAGTAACCCGGGGATCCGTGGACTGGAGTAGACTCTGGTGTGTTACGCTTCCCAGATGATATTTGAACTGTCGAAAAGAGGTTGCTCGGACTGGAGACGGGTCCCGAAATGTGGGTATGGACGGAAGCGTCAGTCTGGTAGGAGGGCCGGGTTTGACTCTGGGAGAAGGATGGCTGAGTTGTCACTACCGGACAGTTTTCCTGCAGTGGAGCGCTTTGGGATTTTGATACATGCGATTGCCCTGGCTCTAGGTTAATCATTAGGAGGTTAAGGGCTTCGATAGATTGCTCGATCTCTTGCTGGGAGGCACTCGGACGACGAGGGAACTGTGGTAGGCTATGGTGGCTGGACAAGGCAACTGACGGAGGTGGGCTGAAAGTGAGGCCTTCAGTGACCGGTTCCTCAGGTACTCCAAACTGCTGCCAAACATTGAGGCCACGCTGGACAGCTTCCCTGCTGCTCGTGGTGCGGGCGGGGGCCGGCGGCATAGACTTGGACTCTGACCCAAATGACCGAGAGCGATACAGACTGCCATTTTGGGTAGCCATGTAATTATCCATGGACTGGGCAAAATTGCTGTGAGTCAAAGTGCTGGGTTTCTCAGATCTGACAGACTGCGACTGGACTGTCTGTAGAGGCTTTTCTGGGACACTGCGCTCCAGATATGGCACGTGTTCCTGGCCATTGATGAGTGGGTCAGACTGGTAGTAGAGATCAGCTGGAGTAGCCCGACCATCAGTGGAGGAGAATGTCCCCAGACTATCCACGCTGTTGCCCTCTTGGCTGGTGGGAAGTTCATCGTCTAAAATGTCGGTTTCGCGGTCAACGCTGCTGTGGCCATTGACGTGGACCTGTGCCGGCACCAGGTGAAGCATCCCTCCAGCTGAAGATGTCGGGGTGGACAGGTAGGCCTGCCGGTGCATGGGCCCCTCCAAGCCGCTCAGTAGTTGATCCAGCTCCTTTTTCTCCTGCGGACTTATTTGCTGCTGGGCAGGTGAGGCCGGACCGTGGACCGAGGGTAACTCCTCGCCCACAGGAAGGGGTGTCTGGCTTAGTGCAGAAGCCTGAAGAGCTGACGTTGCTTCATCAGTTCGGTCGGTTTTGATGGAGGCAGTTGAATTTCCCGAATCGCTACTCACAGACAGGGCGTGGTCAACCGCGGGTAAAGCATGTTCGACAGTAGTGGGTGGAAGGCCGTTGGTTGCGACAACTCCCTCGCCAGATTCCTTTTTACAAACTTTTGCATAGAGGCTGCCGTCCAACGGTCCTTGGGTATGGATGACGTCTAAACAAACAAATGGGACAAGATATATTAGAATCAAATTTCATCAAACGGCAGAGGAAATACAACCCTGTCATTTTCAATCGTCCGTGTATTTTCTGAGCCACAGTAACATGTGTCAGATTTGTCCAGACATTGGGAAATGTTTGTGGCTATCAGAGCTTAGTATGGGTATCAAGAGATGCTGGGGCACAGTAAAAACAGCTGCAGTTAAATGGAACTATGGCTCATGTTCAGGATATAAGCAGGTTATATGAAAAACGTTATTAAATCCCAATGGACAGTCGGACTTCCCAGATTTATTGTGCCGGTCTGTTTACCCATAAATCCAGAAAGAATGGCCACATGTGCACATGCGCATATACAGCGCTGATTCCCATACAGTCACGCCAGCTTAGAGAAGAGGAAGAAGGGTGCCTCAATCTGAAACATTCGGTCACCACTGGAAATTTCGCCTCACTGACTACGGAAGGCCAGGAGGCCTTTCCTGGCCTATGAAACCCAAAGCATAACAAAACATACTGAGTCGCTGTGAGAAAGTTGAAGCACACACGCATATACAGAACACACTTGCTTACATGCACTTATTTTCCACTCTTGGCAGCCAAAAATGTGCACTGCGACCAATGCAGAGCGATCGTATTTTCGTTTGATGAAAGCCAGTAAAATGCGTCTATTCCCCAGATACGCAATATAGATTAAAAAACAAAAAGCTCCACAACACTTCACACAACATTTAGAAACAGTTTTGTTGTTACGCATGCAGCACTATTGACTTGAAAAAGCCCATTTTCTTTAATTTGATTTCAAAGAGCAGCAATACTTTTTTGTAATCTTTTAAAAAGGTCTTGAACAATATTTATTCTCAGTTGAGTAAATGTACCGTACAATTTTCAGCTGAATGTGTTTTTTTGTTCATTGGGTCCCTAAATACTGACTTATGAATTATTCATGCTTAAATACATTTAACTCAAGAGATGAACCGGTGTTCTACATATAGCAACTTGGCAAAAACATTGGTATCTTTCGCCACATGTCATAAAGACACATGATTTCTCAAAAAGCACCCTAAAATGTTTAAAAGATATGCCATTTCCAAAAGTCTTCTCAGGATGGGGTCTGCTTTATAGATTTGAGGATAATGAAGATGTGGAGGCAGTCCAAAAATACAAATCTACAATGCATGATCAGAAGCTGGCAAAGACATAACTTGAAAGACATTTCTGGATGTAAGCCATCTACTTCTAGCCTTATCACAACTTGGCCTGTGATGAAGAAATTCTATTGAGAGGAAATGTAAAGAAAAGACTGATTCATGCTAAATAACATCAAGACTGGACTGAAACTCCATGGCAACAGGTCCTCCTCTGGACTGAGGCAATAATGGGGAATTAAAGTTGATTAAAACTTTAACAAACCACAGCAAACTTTACCCAAATAGTTCAGGCTGTATATAATCATGAAAGTGGTCATAACATTTACTTTAAGGCAAGTGTCCAAAATTCTATCTAGCCCCGTATTCTAAATTTGAATTGTTTGTGTTCGTACATTTCAGTAAGTTGCGTCACCTTACTGTTTTCCAAGGCAACGTAGAAAAATGAAAGCGTAACACACAACTTTTCCACAGTACCGTTCTTCATGAGAATGAATAGAAAACAACCCTTGGACGAACAACTCCTCTTTTCCCCAGTTCATTACCGTTCTCCAGAAATGTCGAAACCCACGATAAGGCATGCGCTTACAGCCAAATCAGAATCTCCAGCCAGGAAAGGAGCAGCACAAAGACGCTGTCTGTGCCTCTGTAACTTATAGATATCTTCATCTCTGCTTTAGTGAATACGGGGCTCTGTTGTGGAGCTCAGTGGGCGTGAACAAGCTGGGTACAGCAAAGTCTCCTTGGTTGACCCAAGGCAAGTTGCCAAGGGAACAGTGCACTGTAGTGGCAGCTCTGTATAGCTGCTGGTGGAAACAAATCTGGTAAGTCACATAAAATCCTTGTCCGGGTAACCAGCTGTTAGCTTAGGAGATATTCCATCCCAATAACTGGACGTTGACAGCATGCTAATCTTTGCAATGGACTTTCCGCATACACCTGTAGCTTCGCAGGAGGAAACAACTCCTTAAGGTAGATCAACTGTACAGTACAAAACAGTAGAATTGTACATTTGTCATCGCAATTACAATGAAGTGATCAATCTTATCATTGCTATCTCAACAGGCTAGGTTTCTAGTGTGGCAGTAGGCTCCAAATCAAGTCATCATTCCACATTTATAGAGCTCATTAAAACACTCAAGTATCAAGTGAATATCAAGATGTGCATTCGTTCCCACTGACTGGACCACGCATTCCGATAAAGATAGACATTAGTCGTGAAAGCAGAGCCCTCTGCACTCTAATTTCAGTACTTTTTTTTTTACCACCTGCCCAGCAGCGACATGTGACTCCCGCATTTATGATGACACAGCCCAGCTGATTTCACACAATGATCAACAATACCCCCACAAGCTACCTCACAACACCTTCCAGACACTGAAAAAAAGAAATCCACAAGAGGAGGCTGCCCGCCTACCTGAGCGACCTGCGGACGGGTGGTTCGGTCCCAAACTAAGCCGGGAGATGCCCAGCGGAGGAGTCCCGGGGGTGAGACATGAAGATTACAGCTATAGTCGGGGAGTTGGTTTTGGCTAGTGCTCCTCCTCCACCTCCCTCTCCGGAGTGGATGGCTGTCTGGCCGGAGTGGTGCTGCCGTGGCTGGCTGCTCCGTGTCTTGCGCTAGTCTAAAGGCTTCCCCCCGCTGTGCGCACTCATGTGGGAGGTCTATCACAAAAGCCTGTGTGATGGTGTGCACCAGAGGTGGGGGCTAAGGGGGCCACTGAATTCCACAGTATGGGGTTTGATAGAATGCCATTAGTCCCATTAGGTCAGATCTTGACACATAGCTTGTGTCAAATCAAAACACAATAACACCCATTTTTGTCTGCAATTCTGTACTGAAACATATATCTAAGTATCCACTCAAATTCACATGCGCATAGCCCAACAGTGTCAAAAACAACCATGTAATGGAAAGAGGTACCTCATCCAACGGTCGTTTAACAAGCTCTCTCCAGGATAGAAAGGAGAGAAAAACTCCACCCTGCTGCAAGCAGGCAGATGGAAAAACAGAAAAACCTAGTGGGTCGAAAAACAGAGGGACTTCTGATGTGGTTTAGTTTTTGTACCTCGCACTCACTATAGATAAATACAGCAAGAAATTTACACGGTTTTACACAAATGATAAGAACAGGTTGTGGTTCAGTTCACATCAGATATGAGGACATTCCACACCTAAATGCAGAAGAACCGACAATAACCACATACACCATTTTGGCTGATAACAAACATGTGGCTATTCCCTCCACAAAACATTTTGTAAGCTTAAAAAAGCAAATTCACCGCAAGTCTGTGGGTGTTGAGTACAAAATGACAAGCAGGAGAAAGTTCTCTCTCAGCTGGCAAACATAATAACACAGAGACTCTTTTTTCCCACCAAATTGTGCTCTGTTTATCTTTTTGCCCTCACGTCTTTCCCTCGGCCTACCTGGGTTCTTTCTGTTAAAACAGTGACGGTAAACGCTAGAACCAGTCTCAAATGAATTCAAACTCTGGTTGAGTCACCCGTCCTAATCTAGCTCATGTCTTCACTTTAGACACTAAGTGGCTGATGGGCACTTATACTACAGGAAACCTAATCTGTCACTTTACACTCTTGTTTTTAGGCTGGCTGACTATTTGTGTTGAGTCTCCAAATAACCTTTGACAGGATCCTTATATGTGATAACACAGGGCAAGTGTATGTGTGAAGGGCCATATTGTGTGTTTGTGCTCGAGTGTTTTTTTCTTTTTCACACTCCCTAGGAGGTACATGATCTCAAACGAGACTTTTACTTTTCTTCTTTTCTTTTGCAAACTGAAGCAAGAAAGAGTGAACCGTGTCCGTTCGGTCTGAGTCAGGTCTTAGAGCTACATCTTCCGTTTCGGAAATGTCAGGGGGAAGAAAACGCAGCAGATAAGCAGAATGTTGACACAAAACAAGAACATCATTATCTGGAGACATGGCCGGAAATGTTCGCACTGCAAACTCTGCATAAATTAAGATGAGTATGGCTCTGTAGAATACGTTGGAGAAAGGTGCTGCCAGATATTTTGGGGTTCTGCTAGCCAGATGGTGCAACTGTGTGACCTCTTAATCTATGAACTCTGAGCTCTGACCCGTCCAGTAATAGATCCCCAACCCAGCGGAAATAGCATGTTTCCCCTCCAGCACACTTAGACAAACATTCGTATGTGCGGCTCTTGTTTGCGTCTGTGTTTGTGTGTCTGGTTGGTGGTGTTCCATTTCTCCTGGCCACAAGTGTGGCATTAATAAAAAGCAATGACGGACCACTTTCTGAGAACATCCCCCAAGGTCTCAGCGCAGCAAACACTAGAAGCAGGATGAGAACGGCTCTTTGTGTAAGTACATTTAAAACACTCAGGAGAACAAAGAGTCGGAGTAGCTCTGGATAATCACGTAATGGTTTGAAAGAGCAGACTGAAGCGTTGTTCACTGAAAGGTAATGGCTGACCCATTGATTTGGGAACAAGCCATGTCTTTACTGTAAGTCAGGGCTCAAGGACGTCTATTAAAGTTATACTGCGGTCTCATCAATTATTACACCAGAGGCTATTACAGATGCTGAGCTGGATTAATGTGACTTGTGAAGACTAATCGGAAACCTTAAGCAGACTATAAATTGAGCAGATGAAGTAAGACTGGATTTGTCATGCCTGTGTCTTAACCTGACTCAGCGTGTGAGAGCGCATTGATGTCTGTATAAGTAAAGCTGAGCAGAGTCATCACCAATAGACCCAAAAATACAAGTACGAGAACTGTCTCCGGCTTAATCTGGACTGCCTCTGCCGCTCATTAAATATACATCAGACTTTTCTGGTGGCGGGTGCCAACTTCGTACAACTGGGGAAAGAGAGGACGTGGTAATGGAAGGTGGTCTAAAGGA